TTAGTTTGAACATATTATTCGAATTGCTGTTTAGTGATATACAAGATTTTGTTCTGCTGTTCTACTATGCTGCATTTCATTGAAAGAAGGAGCTGAACCCGTAAAACAAAGACTATACCAGGTTTTGCATATGGAAAACAACTTTATTAGGCAAAAAGTCAACCAAATGTTGAAACATGGGATCATTCAATAATCGACAAGCCTGTGAAGCTCTCCTGTGGTACTAGTAAAGAAAAAGAATAGCAAGACCTGCTTTTGCATGAATTACTAAAAAATAAATTCTTTAACTATAAAGGACTCCTACCTATTGCTACTCATCAATAATATTCTGAGCTCGTTACATCAGTCTAAGTGGTTCTCGACCTTAGACTTAGCCAGCGATTATTGGCAGATAGAGATGAACCCACAAGACCGTGAGAAAACCACTTTTCTCACCAAAGATAGGCTATATAAGTTCTTAGTTATACCTTTTAGCCTAACACCCCTGCGACTTTTCAAAAGCTTATGAATAAAACTTTACACCCTGTGAATGGAAAATTCATATTAGTTTATCTTGATGATATAAACATTCACTCAGCCATGTTTGATGAACATTTACGTCACCTTCAACAAGTTTTCAACTTACTGAAAAATGCCAGGCTATGCCTCAGTAAAGATAAATATTATTTTTTTAAAAAACAGCTATTATTTTTGGGACACTTATTAAATAGAGAGGGAATTGCCCCCAATCCTAATAAAATTAAGAAGGTTCAAAATTTTCCTGTGCCAACCAACCTTATGGAATTACGAGGCTTTATCGGGCTGGCCTTGTATTACAAAAAGTTTGTGAAAAATTTTGCTGGAATAATACAACTTCTTAATACTCTATTGAAAAGATGTTCCTCTTGAATGGAATGATCAGTGCCAAGAAGCCTTTGAAAGACTCAAGCAAAGGTTAATAACCACATCTATTCTACACCACTCTAACTTTAGTAAACCTTTTATCTTATATACTGATGCCTCGTATATCGGCCTAGGTGCTATACTAGTACAAAAAATAACCACAAGGGAGAGTATATGGTGGCATACATAAGCAGGGGACTAAATAACCTCAAAAAAATTATTTAGCCACTGAAATCAAATGCTTGGCCACTATATAGGCTATGCAGTATTTTCGTCCATATATCTATGATAAAGAATTGGAATTAGTAACTAACCACCAAGCTCTTAAATGGCTGTTAAATAACTCACAACCCACAGGCAGGCTCGCAAAGTGGATTATGATTGCCGCAAAATATCCATGTACCATCTGCTACCGAAAAGGTTCAACTCATACTAACGTGGATGCCTTATCAAGAATTCCTCACAGGCCACTGTAAGGAAGGGAAATTGAAGATAATTGATATATGTCATAAAAGATAACTAATAAATAAGTAAATAAAAACATAAGAAAATCTCTACTTAAGTTTTTTTTTTAAAAAAAAAAAAAATCTGGACCTAAATTTAGTTCAGGTTACCGGTGTCCTGGCACTATAAGAAAAATAATTTTATCTAACTAAGCCTAAAAAAAAAAAAAAAAAAAAAAACTACTGCTATGAACTTACAATTATATCAGCAATTAAAGACATATTTAGAAACTGCCGAAACGCCACTCGATTTAAGTCTACCACAACAACAAAGATTTAAAAGACAAGCTACCTGTTATCTTATCCAAAACGACCTACTATACTACAAAAATAAAAAAGAGAATGGATCTCCATTAAGAGTAATCAAAGAAAATGAGTTAGAACAAGTATTGTATAGACTATACTTGGATATAATGGCTGGGCACTTCAGAATAGAGTCAAAATATAATAAGGCTAGGAGTAAGTATTTTTAGCCAAAAAATATATAAGACTATCAGTAAATATGTACAAACTTGTGACGTATGTCAACGACAAGGTGTCACTAAGCTGCATGAAGAATTACACTCCATTCAAGTAGGTGCCCTATTCGATAGAATGGGCATAGATATAGTGGGTCTCTTCAAAGATATTAGCAAAGCAGGAAACCGATATATCATCGTGGCTATAGAATACTTAACAAAGTGGCCCAAAGCACATCCCATACCTGATATAACCACACCTACTATAGCCTAGTTTATTTATGAGAAAATTATATGCCATCATGGTTGCCCAAAAACACTGCTGTCTGACCAAGGATGTTCTTTTTGTAATGAAATCATAGATACTCTATGTAAGATCATAACTACTCACCATTGTCTGACTGCCGCTTACCACCCCCAGATGAATGGTCTCACAGAAAGATTCAATAAAACTCTCTGCTCTATCTTGGCGAAGCTGGTTGGAGACTATAAAACTACATGAAATATACTATTGCTGGCTGCTCTATTCGCTTATTACACCTTCCCAAATCACACTACCAAATATGATCTATTCTATCTTACTTATGGACACCCTGCTACCCTCCTGTTGGATCTACAATTGTATCAAAAAGAAGTATTAGAAACACCGCTAAAACAATCACTGGAACTACACATCAATGAGATCACAGAACAATTGCACTAGCAAAGACTTCAAGCTCAACATAATATTCAAGAAGCCCAACAAAAACAAAAAGAACACTATGATCAAGACATTAGAGCTGTGAAGTTTAAAATTGGCGACCAAGTTTTATTATATGAGTCAGCCAAAGAAAAAGTATATAGAGACAAATTAAGAGAAAATAGAAAGGCCCTTACTTTATTCATGATCAAGGCATTTTAAAAATGTACAAGCTACAGACAGAAGACAGAAAAATTTTAAAGAACCTAGTGAACATGAACTGGTTAAAGCTCTATTACAAAAGACCTGCATGGAAACTGACAATATATACATTTAAAAAAAAAAAAAAATAGTGAGGGCTTTGAAAATAATATAATATATGCATGTGCTCTATATCACTCGGAGGACCTCATGACTTAAGAGGGGGATGTGTAGCATAAAATTCTAACTCAATGAAGCAAAAAGTTTGTGTGTATTACTATTACGTGGATTACATAACAACTGACGAAACGGTTTGTAGCAGGGATACGAAACCACCACCTTACTTTATTATTCTTATTTTATATATAAATATTTTCTCTTTACATGTATATATTTAGTATTACGCTGGCCTTATTATTTATTTATATAGTTAGTATTAGAGTTATTGTTTGGGTTATCTGTAGCTACTTATGTAGCTTTGCTGGGATGCATAAAATCACGAAGCATAATGATCATTATACATAATTCATTATGCATAATAATCGTTACACATAAATCAGTATGTATAAGATCGTTATGCATAACCTGGGTCAAGTATCCAGTTACAGGATGGCATTTAATAATACTAAAAAGAGTTAAGCATTAGTCAGAAGTTAAAGTTATAAAAAGACCTACAAAGAGATCTTGTAAAGGCATCTTCTGTGTCTAGAAAAATACTTAGCTTTTAATAAAAGAATCATAAAGTACAATTCTTCTAAAAAACCCAAAATCCACTTGACATTTTGTCTAACCAAACGTTTTGGTTACAATATATATTTTGTTTTGTCTAAAACAATAGCAGTTGCTACAAAACAAAAGTGATTATAATTGTCTATTAAAATTATAATACATAATATCATAGAGTATCTATTGGTTTTTGCTATAGAGTCAAGCAAAATAATATCAAGGAACTGAGCCCATAACTGTTGTTGGCTTAGGCTTATTCAAAAAAGCCTTGTAAGATAGTTATCATAATCTTCGAATTGCACATCAACATAAAAAGTAGAATCTGTTTGTTGGTATTTTATGAGCTTAAGCTACATTGATCTAGCATCACTTATCATCTCTTTTTGAGTTCAATTCATTTAAATTGCATTATATACATTGTGTGCATGAATGTATTTTTCTAGATTTTCTTTCGTAAAACTTCAATAATTTCTCTAACACACACTTTACAAGAAGCAAAAAGCTTTAAGTCATCAAGTATCTCAGGACTAAGTTTTCAATAATGTGTTGAGACTATTTCAATATTTTTAACAAGCATATAGTTATTTTGGTCATCTATTTTTGTTATGTAAATTATATTATCTTTTTTGTGTTAATATGCATTAACAAAGAACTTGCAATCACTGTTATGATAGTCTTGATTATATTCTTTTGTAGCATGAGCTTCTTTTCATAGAACATATCATCTACTCTTCATATACTTATCGGTACAATGCCAAGAAATCTCATCCTCTTTATCTTTTTCACTATGAGTTATTGTAAATGTGAAGCTATTTTCTATTTTATGATTGTCAAGCCAACTAAAATAATAAAATAGTAATCTTTTTTAGTAAGTGTGAATATTATAATATACTAACTAATTTCTTATCTATCTAGGTCTACCCAATTATTAAAGAGCATCTCCAAAGCAATAGGATATATAGGCATTTTATAATTCTTTTGGTTATCTATAATATCAGTTGTCTCTATATCATTTTTATCATTGTTCAAATAGAGAAAGTCATTATATGATAACGGTTGATAATCTAGGTTGTTAAATTCAATATTATCGAGCTCAAAATTGTTATATAGTAATGGCTGATAATTTATTGTACTAGTATGATATTTCAAGTCATTAAATTCAATATTATTGAGCTCAAAAAAATTTTCATTGTTATTCAAAATAGGTGAGATGTCTATGATCTTTAATGTCGCAAATAGCAATATGAATAATATGTTTAAAACAAAACTAGATGAACCCTTTTTGAATAATAATTTAAAAAAAAAATTAGATCAAAACACAGTACAGTAATAATAACCTTGAATGAACTTTTGTTGATCAAAAAAAAGATCCTCAATAAATGCAGCATAGTAAAAAGGCAGGAAGAAAAATTGTATATCACTAAATAGCAGCAATTAGAACCCTTTTTAAATGACAATTTAAAAAAAATTAGATTAAAATATGGTGCAATTCAACAATTCAAAAAAAAAAAAATTAAATTGAAATATAGTGCAGTAATAATAATCTTGGATAAACTTTTGTTGATAAAAAAAAAAATCTCAATAAATGCAGCACAGTAAAACAGCAGGATGAAATCTTGTATATCACTAAATAGCAATTCGAATGATATGTTCAAACTAAAAACTAGATAAACTCTTTTTTGAATGACAATTCAAAAAAAAAAAATTAGATTGAAATATAGTGCAGTAATAATAACCTCAAATAAACTTTTGTTAATCAAAAAAAGAATCTTAATAAATATAGCATAGTAAAAAAGCAAGAAGAAATCTTGTATGTCACTAAACAGCAGCAATTCAAACTCTTTTTAAATGACAATTCAAAAAAAAAAAAAATTAGATCAAAATATAGTACAATTTAACAATTTAAAAAAAAAAATTAAATCGAAATATGGCGTAGTAATAATAACCTCAGATAAACTTTTGTTAATAAAAAAAAAGAACTTCAATAAATGCAGCATAGTAGAACAGCAGAACAAAATCTTGTATATCACTAAACAGCAATTCGAATAATATGTTCAAACTAA